TGCATGTATACAGCCTTGTGCAGCTACATTGCTGTGATTTGATGAGCAAGCCCTTGGAGAATGCGGCTTTCATGAATCAGCAAAGTCAAATGATTTGTCAATTAATGCCAGTAATAAAAAGGCCAATTGTGTAACCGTTTTGTGAATCGGGCTAATCTGTTTTTTTATTGTATGGATTGTAAGAAAACATTTTTACTAGACTGCATGTGACTGGGGCAATGCTGTTATCAACAGAGAAGAAATATACTTGTCATGAATGTCTGACCGCTGATAAGACACAAGGAAGTTCCCCAGAGTTCACTGAGGTTTTATACTCTGAATATGAACCGCTGTCTGCTCACAGTGTCTTTGACAACTCAGTGGTCATGCGATCCACTGAGTTTTAACCCTTAGAGCTGCCGGGACAGATGCAGCATTGGATCGATGCTGCAACCACTTAGGTAAATAGAATTTGCCGGGGAAAACCCCCCACACTTCTTTTAACCACTTGCACTCCTTAGGATTTACCCCCCTCCCCCTTCCTGACCAGGCCATTTTGTTGCTTTTCGGCACTGCGCTATTTCCACTGGTAATTGCGCGATTGTGCAATGCTGTACCCAAATGAAATTTGTCCTTTTTTCACACAAATAGAGCTTTCTTTTGGTGGTATTTGATCTCCTCTGCTTTTTAAATTTTTGCGCTATAAACAAAAAAGACTGAAAATTTTGAATAAAAAAACAATGTTTTTCACTTTTGGTTATAAAATATATCCATCCAGGATTTAGGCTAAAATGTCGGGCTATCTGCCTGGCTCCTGGAGCAAGGCGTCGGGCCAAGCAATCCAACATCCCTGTGCTAGAATTACTGCCCTTGATCTGATGTTTGCGGCAATACCTCACATGCATGGTGCAACCACTGTTTACATACCGGCACGGGGTCAACGCTTGCACGCGCAGGGGGCAAGGGTGCTTTTATTTTGATTTTGTTTAAATGAGTTTTTTTTTTTTTTTTTTTATCACTTTTCATGCTATCACAGGGAATGCAAATAGCCCCTATAACTTCAATGGGCATTGTCATATATTCTTCTTTTAGCAATCTGGGGTCTATCAGACTCTATATATCTCCTCTGCCCTTACATTATCTAATCTAACCAAGATCGGTGTGATCACATGCTTTCCCAATTTACAAATGGCGCTCTTTATATCCTGCGAAACTGAAGTGATGAAATGCTCGTAGCTTCCGATTTCTTAGTCATTCTTAGCCATTTTGGTCTCTGACTAACTCTGTGGTCAGCCAGCGGAACTGCCGGCTGCATTCTTGGATTCCCGTGTGGGACAGGAGAGCCCAAGAAAGCTGTTGAAGGCAGCAGGAGATGGGGGGGATGTCCCTTCCTGCTGCTCGTAAAAACAATTCAGCAGCTAATTGGCCGCTAGGATTGTTTATACATGAAAGCTGCCCACCAACTGAAAGAAACGATACCAGGATGATGCCTGTAGCTGCAGGCGTCCTGGTATAACCACTCAAAGTCCATCGATGCACCAGTACATTGCTGGTCCATGTTGGGCATATATGTGCCAGCAGAGAACACAGTCATACGATGAATTGGCTCTGTGGATCAACATGACCGCAATTCATTCTTTTCTGTAATGCCCATGTTGAGTGTTCGGCCCAAAAGCGTTTTAAATTCAGAAACCCTGTTAGGTTTCCATGCGAATTGTCTGGCAAGAGCTGAATTTGGGTGGGCGGCCATGTATTTTTGTGCGTATAAATTACCTTGGCCCACAATTAATTGGTACAAATCTTCTGTGAAAAACAGTGGAGGGGCTAAACACTAGTGCTGGCAGCGAACGGGGCTGATCCTGCGTTTTTGTGGACACAATACAAAGGGGACACTAGTATAGTTAAGTTCATGGTCAATATATTGATCCGTACAAACACTAAACTAGTAATGGTGGTGATCAGCAATCTATAGTGTGCGGGCAATCTAATCTAGACCCTGGCTGGGAGGGACGCCTACTGACCCTGATGCTATCTGATGACTCTAATGGCAGGAATACAGTGATTAGTAAAACATTCTATATACTGAAACTGTACTAATGGCACTGGTTGGGTGACGGGGTAATCAAATGGTTAATAGGGGCGATCAAAGCATTAAGTGTGCTAATCTAACACATGCATGTAAAATGTATTGGTGCTTTTATTCGGTGCTGTGTTCTCTCTTCTCTCCCAGAACTGATGGGTGGGGGGGGGGGGGGGCAGTGGGGGCTTCGGTCCATTCACACCCCAAAATAGGAAGCGACAAGATTATGTCGCTTTGCCAAGAGCTGCTGCTTACCCGCACAATGAGGGTAAGCCGTTGGCAAGTAGTTAAGAAAAAAAAAAAAAAAACTTAAAATAAATAATAAATCTCAATATGGTATTTTTTTCACATTTTATTATTTTTTTTGTTTAATACTTTTATCAGAATAGTACAATGTTACCATAGTAACATAGTGTGTGTGTGTGTGTGTGTGTTGATCAGGGATTTTTTATTTTACACTTCGCTTTGCAGGAGAAATAAAGATCATTTCCCCTGCAATGCAAAGCTTGCTGTCAGAACCTAACTCATTCATGAACTGTCATGAATGAGTTAAGTTTTGACAGCTCAGGATAGTGATCTGTGATTGGCTGGAGCTGGTCACATGGTACAGGGTGCTGTGATTGTATCATATGATAGCTGTGGGCCAATTACAGCTCACTAGGAAGAGAAGCAGAGCTGTTATGAATGACATTGATTCATAACAGTTTTGCTTACATGGTGATCATGTGATTGCATAGTGATCACATGATCACCGGGTCCCATTCACCATTGGGATCATCATTCCACTGTGTCCGTCGGACACAGCAGTAGCGAGCGGGGAAGCGATATGCACCCGCTTGGGCGCGCAGCGCCCCCTTCTGTTAGTACAGAGAGAGCGATGTACGGGTACGTCACTTTGCCTGTAGCTGCTGCCCAACTGCTATACATTTAGGGCGGGCGGGTTGGAAGTGGTTAAATGTCATTCAACCTTGCCACTGAAGTAAACAAAGGGGCGGGGGCACTGGGTGATCCTGCCCCTTTGTTTACTTTAGCGGCCAGGGGAATGACCCCTCCTTAGCAATATGCACTGTTCCCTCACTGTATACACTTCTCTTCTCCTCTCCTGCCCCTCATTGCATACACACTGCCACTCCCCCCCACAGAGGACCTGTCACTTATATGCTGTCACATAGGGGACTATTGGTCCTCTTTGTGATAGCAATAAAATCATAAGGTAAAAAAACAAAACACGAAAAGTAAAAAAAAAAATAAAAAAAATTAAGCCTCCACACCTGCACACGCGCAGGCATACATAAAAATATGCAATCGTTATGGCGCCTACGTAGAAAAAGAGAAGGCAATTGTGCTACACAATTGTTGCATATCACCACACACTCCAGTGTGTGATCGATAATTTTGTCATCAGAGCTTATGGGTAACTCTAAACTGGTGACCTGTAGGGGCTTTTAAAGCATTACCTATGGAAAAAAATTCGGTTTTCGATTTTTGTGCTGTTTTACTGGTGCGTGCAACTTTAGTGTATTTTTACTGAAATTTTGCATTTTATAAACCGTTGCGCTAATATGTGACATAAAAATTTGGAACTACCACAAATTTATCCTGTAGGGCGTCTACTTTCAGAAACATTTTAAGTAATCTTCAGGCATAAAATTAATTTTTTAATCATCTAAACCAAAAGTTTAAAAAAAAAAAAATTAAAAATTGCTCTGGGACTCAAGTGGCTAAGTGGATGTGTAAACTGATCTGGTTTTTTTATTTGAAAAAATGGAACTGAACTGATGATAAAAATGGAATGCCCATGTGAAAGACCCTTACTTTTATCCCAGTCTAGTAATATCTCCCTCTGCAGTATTGAGAGCCTCCAGCTGCCAGTGCCCATAAATAGTCCTCTGTGCCATAAAAATTTGAAAACGTTGCTGGTTGTCATCTCAGTGCTGTCTTACGCTGCTGAGCTGCGGTTTGACAGCAGCATGGGTGCAGCGCTGTTTACATGTGGTTTTTGTGCAGGTCAACCGCACTTTCCCATAGACTTCTATTAGACGTTTTTGGTGATGTCTCTGAAAGCACACGAAAAGTCCTTAATGCTGAATCTTTGGTGCGCTTTCACCAAAATGCACCAAAGATGGGATCTAATAGAAGTCTATGGGAAGCTCTGGGTACACTGCACTGGATCTTTGCTGTGGCCAAACTGAAATGTGGCAGTGTGAAACCACCCTGAGGCTATTATGGCTGCACACACAAAATGTTTTGTGCAATGGCCACAGAAATTTGTATTGTGTTTTTTTTCTGGATTTTTGGTTGATATTTTGTCTCTATCATTTAAAATACACTTATGATAAACATTATAGACCCTTCATTCCTTTGTAAGTGGGCAAACTTACAAAATCTGCAGGGGATCAATTATTTTCCCCAATTTATACTATATGTATACTATGTGTGTGTATTTGTATATATGTGCTTGGGACAAACTTAGCTCTATACTCGGACAAAATATGTAACAAAAAATACAAAAACGTGTATACATTTCTTTAAAATATGGGCTGCTTTTTCTGTTGTTTTTCTGTATGTGTGTGTGTGTGTGTTTATATATATGTATTATATATATATATATATATATATGTGTTATGTGTGCGTGTGTGTGTGTGTGTGTGTGTGTATGTATGTGTATATATATGTGTGTGTGTGTATGTACGTGTGTGTGTGTGTGTATATATATATATATATATATATATATATATATATATATATATATATATATATGTCTGTATTTATATATAATCTCTGAAATCCTTTTGTCTTATTTTACCTTACGCTTTGCCCCTTCTGGTTTATCAGTTGCTGATTAGCATAACTAACATATTTTCTTCTCTACAGGTGGTTTCCAGAAAACATGATTGTGCATTGGCCTTGACCTTCTTCAGCAAGGACTTTGTCTCCCAGTATGTCAAGTTCAGGGTATCCTCCTAACCAAGGAGCTTTTAGCACTGAGCAGAGTCGCTACTCCACCCACCCAGTCCAGTATACTTTTTCCAGCAGCAGACATCAGCAGGTCAGTATTTTACTATACAATACTAAAGAAACTAAAATATTCCACCAGCAAGATATTCTTTAAGCTCTGGTTCACACCAGTGCAGCTTTGAATTTGCGCTATTTTGTGCAACTTCAAAACTGACTATTAAGTGCGACCTCAATGTGGTTTGCTGACACCTCATTTAACAGATGTCAAAGCAGGTTGCAGTGATGTCACACAAAAATAGTGTAGGAACCTTTTTCAAACTTGCTGGGACTTTGGTCACACGGATTTGAACGGTTCCATTGCTGTCAAGTTGCACTGGTGTGAATCAGGAATTAAGTCAAAGATGACTGACCTTGCAACTGCTCAGGGAATTGTAGTTTAATATATGTCTTTTATTGTTCTTTTGTTGAATTTATATACACTGCTCAAAATAATTAACCACTAGCCCTCCAGAGGATTTACCCCGCTTCCTGACAAGGCCATTTTTTGCGATACGACGCTACGTTACTTTAACTGACAATTGCGCGGTCATGCAACACTGCACCCAAATTAAATTTATGTCCGTTTTTCCCAGTGAATAGAGCTTTCTTTCGGTGGTATTTGATCGCATGTGCGTTTTTTTATTTTTTGCACTATGAAAAAAAACGGCAATTTTGAGGAAAAGAAAGCAATATTTCTGACTTTTTGCTATTAAACATGTCCAGTAGAAAAAACAAAACACTAATTTCGTCATAAATTTAGGCCAAAATGTATTCTGCTCCATGTCTTTGCTAAAAAAAAAACAAAAAAACCCTGATACGTGTAAATTAATTGGTTTACGTGAAAGTTTTATAGTGTTTACAAATGGCAGTGTATATATACTGGGATATTTTTTAAATTTTTACTAGTAATGGCGGCGACCAGCGACTTATAGCGGGACTACGGCGGGCATTCTGACACTGGGAGGAACTGACTTGGTGTCAATGACATCCCCAGTGACACCTATACAGTGATCAGTGCTAAAAAACAAAAAAGCACTGACACTGTACTAATGGCACTGGGCAGGAAGGGGTTAACATCTGGGGTGATCAAACTGTGTGTTTTACATAGTGTGCTGTGTGTGTTTTACTCTGACAGCAGAGCAATACAAAGCAGCTTGTCTATAGAGCAATACAAAGCAGCCTATTTGTACTGACAGGGGAGACATCTGTATTGTTTACATACAGACCTCTCTCTCCTATCAGCTCCTCCGGCGAACACCGAGTCGTGGCGGAGAATCAGCGGCCGAAACCCGTTGCTTTGACATGTCGAGGAGCCAATAGCAGTGGTGTGGGTAGGGAGTGCGCACGTCCCTACCCGGAAATACAAAATCATGTATATATACCTGATTTTGCGCATCCCCCTCTGCCCTGTAGCCGTACTTCTGCTATAGGGCGGTCGGGAAGAGGTTAAAGGAACACTTTGAAAACACATCAGATCTCAATGGGGGAAAATCTCATGCTGGATATCTATACTGATATGGACTGAGTAATGTGTTAGGAACCTAAGGATGCCCCATCGTTTGATGGAAATTAAAATTATCAGCCTACAGAGGACTGAATTCAAAGACAGCTGAAAATCAAAGTGAAAAAATGATGCAGCAGGCTAGTCCATTCTGCTGAAATGTAATTGCAGAACCTCAAAATGGTACTCAGTAGTTTGTGTGGCCCTCATGTGCTTGTATGCATGCCTGACAATGTCGGGGCATGCTCCTAATGAAACCATGGATGGTGTCCAGGGGTATTTCCTCCCAGATCTGGACCAGGGCATCACTGAGCTCTTGGACAGTCTGAGGTGCAACCTGGCAGTGTGGGGTGGACCAAAACATGATATCAGAGGTGTTCTATTGGATTTAGGTCAAGCAAGCATGGGGGCCATTCATTGGTATCAATTCCTTCGTCCTCCAGGAACTGCCTTTCGCCACATGAGGCCGGGCATTGTCATGCAGCAGGAGGAACCCAGGACCCACTGCACAAGTGTAGGGTCTGACAGTGGGTCCAAGGATTGCATCCCGATACCTAAAGGCAGTCAGGGTGCCATTGTCTAGTCTTTAGAGGTCTGTGCGTCCCTCCATGGATATGCCTCCCCAGACCATCACTGACCCACCACCAAAACGATCATGCTGAATAATGTGACAGGCAGCATAATGTTTTCCTCGGCTTCTCCAGACCCTTTCGTGTCTGTCACATGTGCTCAGGGTGAACCCGCTCTCATCTGTGAAAAGCACAGGGCGCCAGTGGCGGACCTGACAATTCTGGTGTTCCATGTCTATTGCCAATCGAGCTCTGTGGTTCCGGGCAGAGTGAGCACAGGGCCCACTAGAGGACGTAGGGCCCTCCGGCCACCCTCATGAAGTCTGTGTCTGACCAAACAATCAGAAACGTTTTACACCAATGGCCTATTGGAGGTCTTTGTGTAGGGCTCTGGCAGTGCTCATCTTGTTCTTGCTTGCACAAAGGAGCAGATGCCGGTCCTGCTGATGGGTTAAGGACCTTCTACAGCCCTGTCCAGCTCTCCTAAAGTAACTGCCTGTCTCCTGGAATCTCCTCCATGCTCTTCAGACTGTGCTGGGGGAGACTGCAAACCTTCTGGCAATGGCACATCAATATGTGCCATCCTGGAGCTGTTGAACTGCCTGTGCAACCTCTGTAGGGTCCAGGTATCACCTCGTGCTACCAGTAGTGACACTAACCCTAGCCAAATGCAAAACTAGTGAAAAATTGTCAGAAAAGATGAGTAGGGAAAAAATGTCAGTGGCCTCCACCTTTAAAACCATTCCTGTTTTGGGGGTCATCTCATTTTTGCCCATCTAGTGCACTTGTTAATTTCATTAACACCAAAGCAGCTGAGACTGATTAAAAACCCCCTCTGCTACTTAATTGACCAGATCAATATCCCAGGAGTATAATTGACTTGATGCTGTATTCTGATTAAAAAGTGTTCCTTTTAATCCTTTTGAGCTATGTACGTAATTTATTATTTTTTTTTTTTACTTCTGACATTGAAGGAAATATTTACACAATACAACAGTGAAAGTCCCCCAATATATTATCTGCCATGAGAACATTTTTACATTATTGAAGTTTGCGTTCACCCCCGTGAGGTCACTTGGCAGCATTATCAGCTGTAGGAGGCCAGCTGGCCTGTGCGTGTCATGAGGGGGTGTTCTAAGACTCATGTTTGATCCAGTTATCCTCTGTCTAGAAGAATAAGGGGATCTTGCCTGAATCTGAGAAAAGGCTGATTGTTTAGCTGTTTCCTGCTTGACATGCTGTCCAAATGATTGGAAAGGGACTAGCTTGAAGATTTAAACTCACTAGAATCTCATATAAGCGTTAACATATTAAAGTCATTTCAGAAATAAAGCATTTTTAAATCTGCACATTTTCTGTATCATAATGCCTGGTAATCCTGCCATTAACGTTTGTGAGCGGGAGTTTCCTTTGATAGGGTGACAATGCTCCATTCTTGCCTTATTTATTTTTTATTTATTACAGGTATTTATCTAGTGCCGTCAATTTTTACAGTGCTTTACAGACAGTATGCTGTAGATTCATGTCAGTCCCTGCTCTTTGAGGTCCATACCTCACATCTTTATATAATGGGGCCAATTCAGAGAGGAGCCATTTAATCTAATCTGTCAGCATGTCTTTAGAGTATGGGAGGAAACTGGAGTACCTGGAGGAAACCCACACAAGGATAGGAAGATTGTGTAAGAGGCTGAGTCAGGTGCCGATCAGGCATCCAGGTGGATCCTGACAATATGGTCAGGATCCTTTCAGACTCTGGAGCGGCTTCGTGATGTCAGCCAACAGTGGGCTAAAGCTGATTCTGGGTCACAGAAGCGCTAAAGCAAGTACATTCCTGTTACCCAGAAGTGACGTCTGGCCAAAGAAGCTTTGATTATACTCTTTTAAATCTTTAGTTTTAGGCTAGTTTCACACCTGTGCCAGTTGCAGTTGATGTTTTCCAGGTGCATTTTGCTGTGCAGTTTGCATTTTTTCCCATTCGTTTTTAATGCGTTTTGCATTTATGGGTTGTGCTAATGTTGCTAGGGGGAGGTGTCTGCTGTTATGCAGGAAACGCACCAAAAACATGTACATGCGTTTTACATGCTTTTTTGACGTGGTTCCATTGAAGTCTGTTGAACCTAAAACACAATCTGTTGTAGGTAAAAAAGTCCCTGATCCTTTCGAAAAACGACACTGGCTCAAAATTCACAGATGTGAACCAGACCCATAGGAAATCTTGTTAAATAGACTGTAGTGCGTTTCTGCAAACTGAGAAGTGCACTGAAAACCGCATAAGTGTGAACCTAGTCTTAGTATTGATTTCATTCGACTATTCAAGGCTGTTCTAATATAAATGAGTAATGTGCCATACACTTCATTTTCAAAGGGTTAAGATACATGTTACCTTACCCTAGGTTCACACCTAAGCATTTTCCGCAGCGTTTTGCAGAAACACACTACAGTCCATTTAACGTGATTTCCTATGGGACATTTTCACATCTCCGGGTTTTCACCCGGTGCGTTTTTTGGAAAGGGTTACGGACTTTTTTTTTTAAACGCAAACAGTTGCGTTTTTGGTACTATAGACTTCAATGGAAACTCTGCAGAAAAGCATATAGTGTGTTATTGCTGCATTTTTTATGCGTTTTAATCTGCCTAGCAACAAAAAAAACCCCGCAAAGCGCTTCAAAACGCATGTACAAAAACGGATCAAACTACTCTCATTTCTGCTTCTTGTCCTCTGCAGAGCAGTCACACTGGGAGGGGGAGGGTCAGAGCTTTATTGCATTTCACACTGATAATCCACACTGTGAGTAGAATAATCACTTTATTGTTGTGCTGGCTTCTCCTTCATTGTCCAATCACAGGTTGGTGTTTTATTAAGCTGGCCATAGATGGCTCGAAATCTTGGCCGGTTCAGCAGGAATGCGGTTGGTTGCAGTAAAGAAAATCACATCATGTATGGCCTGCCTTAGTCTTGCTTTACTGCAGTAAGGGACGGTG